GAATTATGGCCGAGACAACTTGACATATATTTTCAGGGAATACAATTCAATCCAAGTCATAAAATAATTGTATGCTTAGTTTTAATTTTATAGAAAACTGATAAACTCTTTTCCATAGTGACTGAACTATTTTACAATCCCACTAATAATGTATGAGTGAGTATTCTGATCTCTACACATCCTTGTCAGTATTTGGTGGTGTCCTGATTTTTAATTTTAACACACTTGTTAGGTGTGTAGAAGTATCTCACTGAGTTTTTAATTTGTGTTCCCTCCTGGCTCCTGATGTTGAGCCATCTTTTCATGTACTGATTTGCCATTTGGTGACATGTCTGTGTCTTTTGCCCATTTTCTAACTGGACTTTTTGTTTGTTTTACTGTTATGTTTTGAGTGTTCTTTATATATTGTAGGTACTAGTGCTTAGTAGCATAATGGGTTACACACTATTGCTGACTACGGGGTCGGCGGTTCAAATCCACCAGCTCCTTTGAGGGAGGCATATGAGGCTTTCTCCTCCTCTTGAGGTTTACACTATCAGAAACACTACAGAGGTCACTATGAATCCGAACAGACTCATGGGTACACAACAACAACACTCCTTAGTCAGATATGGTTTGCAGATGCTTTCTCTTCATCAACAGAGCATTAATGTGAGAAACATGCACTATATTTCATGACGAGGTTTGCTGCCTCCTCCTCTCTCATCTCTAAACCCTCGAGGGTCTAGGCTTAGTCCTGGGACTTCTCACTGCACTCTCTGCGTGACCTCATCCAGTTTGGGGGCATGAAATGCCATGCCTATGCCGATGACACCCACATTTCTATCTCTGGCCTGGACTTACCTCCTCAACTCCAGAATCTGACAGCCAGCTGCCTGCCCAGCATGACCACCTAGATGTCCACGTAACGTGTCGCCTACTCTCTTCCTCTTGTCTTGTGCATCTCAGAAAGCGGCAGCTCACTTTTCTAGTTGCTCAGGACACAACTCTTGGTGCCATCTTTGTAATCCCAGATCCATTCCACTTGCAAATGCTGTGACCCTACCTGTAATATAGCCAAAATCCAGGTATCACCTCTGTCATGGTCCCAGTGACCAACCTCCAAACATCTCCCTGCATTGGCCTTGGTCCCATTACATTCTAGTCTCTTCAGGGCAGCCAGAGAGATCTTTTAAAAGGTAAGTCTTCACAACAGCCTGTACTGTTCAATCAGTGGGCCCCTGGTATTTACCCATTCGATTTCATTTCCTTACAGTATTCTCTTCTCTGCTGCCCTTGCTGGTACTTGAACCCACCAGGCACTCTTCTGCCAGACATCCACATGGTTTTCTCTCTCACTTTCAGGTCCTTGCTCAAACAGCACCACCTCATTGAAGACTTCCCTTTCCACGCTGTAGCCCACCCCATTCCCCTCTTTCCTGGTCTTCCCAAGTCCCTTCACTGTCTTGCCTTCTTTGTACTTACTGCCCACTGCCATGGTGGTTTTTACTTGAGCAGAGCCAGTCTCCCCATACATACATACATCCACACTGTGAGCCCCACCCGACACCTGCAGCCATGTCTGACTCACTGTTACGGGTTCGCGGATGTCAGAAGTGAGTACTGCCCTGGCCGTTTCCTGACGTGGTGGGAGTCCTTCAGGGCACCTCCCTTAGTTTAGGGACCTCAGGTCCCTCCTCAGAGCATTGTCATGAGGATTAAACGAGGCAGAGCACAGGCACAGCTGATAGAAACACACACTTAAGCAGTTCGGTCTCCTATGTCCAGCGCCCTCCAGTGGAAGAAGTATGCCACTGTCCTTTTCATATGGCACACACCATTTCCTTTTTGCGTCCAGGACCTGGTCATTTCTCAAGATGATCAGTTTCTAAGTTCCCTGGCTGCCAGAGCCCCCTTGTTCCTAGTTATCCTACCGCCCTCCCCGCCCACCTGCACATAATATGACCAGTCAGCCCCTAGTTAAGTGCCGTGGAGTCGGTTCTGACACATAGCAACCTTGTATAGGGCTTTTGAGAAGCAGCTGGTGAGTTTGAACCGCCCACCTTGCAGTTCAAACTGACCCTGCGGTCCAGTGCATTCTCCTGCAGTGCCATACCAGCACCCCACAGCCAGCTTCCAGTAGCCACTGGAATCTCCAGTTGATGGCTTGCCCGTTAAAGCTGAGTGCACCCTCTGCTGTTTGCTGCCCAGAACCCTATCTGTTTTTCCCTGTGAGGCCTGAGGTGGCGCTGTAGCATTAGCACTGGATTGCAAACCACAAAGCAGATCTTGATAACCCTATTCAGAGTTGCTATGAGTCGGAACCAGGTCCAAGGCACACAGCAACAACAGTGCACGGAGTGCCAGTAAAAGAATGAAAACCAGCATTTGTGAATTTGTTTGAAACTTTTATATCATCACTATTTGGAGGAGGCCAACTGTTTTACCCATTTGTATTGTTAATTGCTCATTAAGCTTGTATTCTTTCAAGCATGAATACCTGGTTGAATCTGCATAACCTCTTATTGTCAACCTACCTTTGTTCACTCACAGATGAATGCCACTTGCAACTCTCCCACCAGGCTCTTTTTGTAAATAATATAAATTTTATTTTCTCCAAATAGAACTGTGATATCTTGCTGGTTTTGCAGTTTCCTTGTTTTGCTGGATTTCAAATCCCTTAGAGCTTACAGGTGCTGTTTGTACACCAGATCCGTGGTGTAAGACAGCTCTCTTCCATGAGAAAGGCGAATAGTGTGAACACCAGCCACTCTCCACCCCAGGAACTCCTGACCTGCCTTCACCTGGGACTTCTCAGATGCTCCCTAGCCCACAGCCTCAGTTTCTCCCCTGCTAGTTGAGGCTTTCTGCTCCCGTAAAGATTTACAGCCTCGGAAACCCTGTACAGGGTCTCTTTGAGTCAGAACCAACTCCACGGCACATAACTACCACCACCAGTGAGCCCGTTGCCTTGTATCTTAGAAATATTTTGACTATACCTGAGAACATAAAAGCTTTCTCCCAAACTACACCCCATTATTATTATGAAAGCACAAATTGAGTGGGAAATCCATCTTTGAGACATTTGAAATTATTGCATGCTTGACTTCAGAAACCAAATTCAGATAAAGGCTTCTCAATTATACTTCTGTTTCTACTGAACTCATGACTGCTCACTGAAAGGCCGCTTGTTCATATCTAAAACATTGTTTACAGTGTCCCAATGAATGGCAGCCAATCCCGGCTTTGGGATTTGGATGGTACATTTATTCCCTGGGGAAAGAAGTAACAGCTTGAGATGGGGCAGGGCTTGCTGAGTGAGAATGCTTCTCATTCTGAGAATTGTGTTTCGTCTTGCACAGATTCTCAGTGAGCATCCCTAGGCCTTCTTTGTGGCTGAAAATAAATGTGGTTTCTTTTGCTTCTAGAATTTTTTACAAAAAAATAAACAAGAAATTTGCAGCTTGGGGAGTTTGGCTTTGAAAACAAAAACATAGGAGTGATGAATCAAGACTTGGACAATGCATAACTTTTCTTTTTAAAGGATAGCCATGTGACTCCTTGTTTTGCCGTTGCTATCTTGGTACTGAATCAGTATCTTTGGGCAGTTGATCAGCCCAGTACATTCCCAGAGAGCAAGTAGCATGACTCGAGCACAGCAAAAATTTAGTACATATGTGTACCAGGGAGGTGGTTTCAGTTGGGATCTAAGCTGATCTTCAAGACCAAATTGGCTATTTGTTCTAAAACACTGAGTTGTTGCTGTTGAGTGCCGTTGAGACAGTTCTGACTTATAGTGACCCTGTATTGGGTTTCCGAGGAGCAACTGGTGAGCTTGAACTGGCAACCCTGTGGTTCAAACCGACCTTGCAGTCCAGCGCATTAACCTGAATAGCAAACATCTATTAGAGACATGGAGGACTGGTGTGGTGCTGTGGGTTAATGCACCAGACTGCAGAGCCATTTGAACTGCAACGTTGTGACGGTTCATGCTCACCAGCTGCTCCTTAGAAACCTTATGCAGGGTCGGTATGGGTCAGAACCGACTTGACGGCACTTAACATCAGAGATAAATATTCTTTTTCTTCATGGGAGGACACCCACAAGTGCCCACAAAATGACATAATTCACTTCTCATCGCTTACAGTTGAAACTACAAAAATGAGTTAACCTACAAATTTCTATTTGCCTTGTAGAAAAACATTCTAGCCTACATTTTAGCAAATGTATTCTTATCACTGAGAAAGGATTTTATCTTCAAAGGATTATGCTTTTAAGCAAGTGCTTTGGAATGAGAGGAACAAAGACTGAAAAGATGACCACGTGAACGTCAGTGCCCAAGTTCAAGGAAGTAAAACAAACATGGCGCTTCGGTGGAGGCAGGGGCACTTGCCCATCCATAACAGAGAGTGCAGATTGGCATATAAGCAGAAACCAGCAGATTCTCTGCCCCAGTAAAGAGTGTCCTGCTGAGTAAAAGGAAATTTGGCCTTTAGAGTCATCACTCACTATGAAAGTGCAGGGAGAAATGGACTCCATCCGGTGCTTATGGCTTGGAAAGCTGGGCTGTGTACTTGGGACAGCAGCAGTCTACATATTTGATCTATGGAATATTTGTGTGTATAGCAGGCAGCGGGGCAGGGTGTGGGCTATGGCACAGAATTATGTAAAGTAACTGGAGTCATTATTATTGTTTTAACAAGTGTGCAGCTAGAAAAGCACGTAGTCACACACTGCAGTTCTACTGAATGCTGGGTAAGAAAATCATGGCAAATGTTGGATCTTTTTTGGAAATGTTCTAAAACTAGACTGTTTACACAGTGAGCCATTTTTAATGTAGCCTGCTACGTGTTTGGGGAGAGACATGTACCCTTTTATTAGGAATATGAAACACTCTTTGAGCTGCAGCATCACTTCAGGAGAGTTTAATTGCTGGGATTAATAAATCACAGCTGCAGAAGTCAAATTCTTGGCAGGATTCTTTATTCAGCTGTTTTTCCCTTGCCCTGTTACATTCCAGATTTATGGCCGGCATCATGTTTGGAGCCAGCAGTAAGCTTGTTCTTTTCCTATGCGGCTGTTACGTGGTTGCCCTAGGAGTGCACGCCGGGAAGCATGAGGTGGCTGAATATTATGTGGCTGCTGTGTACGAGCACCATTCCATCTTGAGTCCAGACCCTCTGACTCCTACCACCCGAAAGCAGGCCTTGGAGCTAATGAATCAGAACCTGGACATCTATGAACAGCAAGTGATGGCTGCAACCCAGAAGGCAAGAAACACTCCTCTTTGATTACATGACCTGCTCCCCTAGGAAAGAGCAAGCTGCTCTAGTAACCCTAGGCTCCAAAACCTTCTGGAAAACTCAGCCCAACTAGTAGGTCTGGAAGTGTGGCATCATAGGATAAACACTGGACTGCTAACCACAAAGTCAGTGGTTCAAACCCACCAGCTGCTCCTTGGAAATCCTATTCAAGGTCGCTGTGAGTCGGAACTGACTTGACGGCACTTAATGACAGCAGGTCTAAGCACGTGCTATCTTGGGTGACGGGAAGGGCAGTATACAAGTAGTGGGAGGCTGGCAAAAGAATAATGAAGATAAGCGAAAACCTAGGGAGGTAGGCATGGGCTAAAGGGGATAGAGGTAAACAGTGATACATACACAACCTTGGAACAACAGTGTTCTCTGTACAGATATATGCAATGAGACATAGACTGAATGGGTAAGGGAGGAAGATAAACATATATATCCCACAAATATATGCATTTGAAAGAGGATATTTGTACAGGAGTATTTACCTTTCCTGCAAACACAGCTATCAATGTGGTAGGTAGAGCGAGCGTACTATGGACAAAATGATGAAAACTTCCTAGATATTACCCAGCATCCTAAGGCAATGAGCTGCTGGGCCTGGGGACTCAGGACGGTAGTCTCAGAGGACACCATGGTCAATTGGCCCAACATAGTTCACAAAGACACTGCTCTATATCCTGCTTGGGTGAGTAGAGTCTGGGATCTTAAAAGCTCATAAGTGACCGTCTAAGGTGCAGCTGTTGATCTCTCTTTGTGGATGGAAGAGGAGTGATGAGAACTGAAGAGACTTGGCATCAGTCCAGTGGACTAATGGAACATGGGAACATCAGTCTCCACGAGTCTGAGACCAAAAGAACTATATGGTTCCTGACTATCATTACCAATGCTCTGAAAGGGATCACATTAGAGGGTCCCAGTAGAGTGGGAGAAAATGTGGAACAAAACTCTTAAATTATAAAGAAAAGCCCAGGCTTACTGGTCGGAAAGAGACTGGAGGAACCTGAGACTGCGGCACTCAACCACCCTCAGGGCAGGAAAGGAACGCCCCCTCGTGGCCCAATTTTCAGTCAAGCAGTAGATCTTCAGGGGAGTAATAACAGCCCTAGTAAGCTATGCTCACAATGGAAGGGTCATTCAAAATCAAAAGGGCAACATCTTCCTAAGGGCAAAGCTGAGAAGAGATAGGAAGATGGGTGAAATGGAAACCAGAATCACAGGAAGGAAGCAGGATCACTGTTTTTGCATGGAGCGAATTGCAGTCATTGAGATGAAACAAAGTGTATGGTTTGTTGAATGTAAAGGTGATGATCTTGCCTGTAAACCTTCACTCGATTCACAATAAAAAGTTTAAAAAACAACAATAGGTATGAGGTCTCTGGGTACTGCAAGCAGTCTGCACTCACCTACTACCCAAAAAGTTGACAGTTCAAGCCCACCCAGCAGTGCCACAAAAGGCTTGATGGTCTGCTTCCGTAAAGATTGTTGTTTTTAAGTGCCATAGACTCAGTTCTGACTTATAGCAACCCTGTATAGAGTTTCTGAGGAGCAACTGGTGGGTTTGAACCACCAACATTATGGTTCACAGCCCAGTGCTGATCCTACAGCACCACACCAGGAGTCTTCCGTAAATATTACAGTCAGGAGGAAACCTATGGAGCGGTTCTACTCATGGGTTAACCAGGAGTCAGAATTGACTTGATGGTAAACAGTTTGGTCTTTTGGTTAGCAAGCCTGAGCTGACTGGAGTCTTGCTCCTCAGAGAGTGGCTTAAAGACTACAGCAGCGCCAGAAGCGCCTTAGAAATGTAGACCTTTCAGCCCCACCCCAACCCACTGAACCAGGGTCTGCATTTTAGCAAGATCCCCAGGTGATGTGTTAGCTCTTTCCGGTGTCAGAAGGCCTGAAGTAGCTCCCTAGTTCTCAAATGTGACTGCCCAGAGGAATCACCTGACCAGGTTTAACAAATATGGAGGCCCAGGTCCTGCTGGAAATTCTGCTGTAATTGGTCTCGGGTGTAGCTTCAGCACTGGGAATTGTTCAGGCTCTACAACAGATCCTGGGAGTCTTAGTGAGGCGCTGTAGGGTAAGCACTGGACTGCTAATCTCAAGATCCATGGTGCAAACCCACCAGCCACTAGCAGTTGAGCACCAGCAGGTCATTCTAATATGCAGAAAACTAAGAGCTACCCGGCATCACGGCCTCACCTCCTCTTAGGCACTCAGCTTAACTCAGTGGTAAACATTCACAGAGGAGCTCTGGTGGTACAGTGGTTAAGTGTTCAGCTGTGGATGAACCCACCCAGCTGTTCTGTGGGAGAAGGAAAGGCATGGTGACATGCTTTCCTACAGATTGTAGCCTAGGAAGCCCTGAGAGGCAGTTCTCCTCCATCCTCCAGGATTGCTGTGCATTGGACATCTACTCCACAGCACACAACAACAACAGGCAGCCACAGAAATGCAGCCTGTTGCCTTCTAGTCTCTGTGCCAGACTGTGAACAGTCTTCAGACTTCCCAGACCAGAATTGAGCCCAAATGGACAAAAAGAAGGTGGGTGCCAGCCTTTGTGAAGGCTTCCTGCTTGGCATGCATTTCCCACTGCTGCCGGATGGGCGGGGAGAAGGAGATGAGCCCCCTGGGGCAGAGCTGGAAATGCCAGAGCCAGATGTTTCTGTAAGAAATGCCCTTTTGGGAAAGTCTGAGCTTTAACCCTGGTGGTAGGTGGTCAAGCCCGGCTGCTGTGCCTCAACAGGAAGTGGTCAGTGCGAGTAAAACTTCAATGGTGTCTCTTGAGTTTAAAGGTCAAAACGTCATGCCAGCAGGTCCTACCCCAACTGTGCCTTTCTCTGATCAAGGAAATAAAGACTGCCTGCATATCCACCATCAGTTATTGCTATACTTGAAAAAATCTCAGTCTACGAAATGCAGAACTAATTGCAGTCGGTCAATTCCATCTCATGGTAACTTCATGTGTGTTCAGAGTAGAACTACGCGCCAGAGGATTTTCAGTGGCCAAGTTTTCAGAAGTACATTGCTTGACCTTTCTTCTGAACTACCTCCTGATAGACTCGAGCATCCAACCTTTGGGTTAGCAGCCAAACGCACTGACCATTTGTACCACCTAGAGACTCCATAAGATGTATTTGTATGTCTGATGTAGGAAGGGCGAGTAAAGACCTGTTCCTGATGAATGGAAATCCTCTTTTGTCCCTAACCTGATATCCAGTTTCTCTTTGAAACCCAGCAGTGGCCCAGAAGTCACTGTCCAACTGAGGACAATGGGAACATCTGGAAAGGTTTTCCTTTCAGTGAGCCTACCTGTAACTAACTGCCACCTACTGTTCTGTCCTCAGAGCCCATCATCCTTCCCACCTTTGAGGACAGTTGTCATGATTCCCCAGGGTATCTGTCCAAATGGCTATCTGTTCACAGTTCCTTAGATGATGCGGTGTCCAGCTGCCCCCACTAAAGACTTCAGGCAGTTCTCCCAACACTGCCGGCCGAGGGCAGGGAGGAAGAAAACTGTCACCTCTCAGCCTAGGCACTGTCCCCAGGACACACTTGACAGCTATGTCTCACTGAGGGTCATGAGGCGCCTGCTGTCAACTAAAGCTCCGGCGCCTTTCCCACACACACGGGCAGACGCACTGCTGCCGTTGCCGTCCTGGACTCAAGGTTGATGGATTTCACCTGAGAGCCAGCCTTCACGTTTGCGCTGCTAACATTTCATTTCAGCTTGTTGGGCTATTTAGGGATCTCTCCTGACATGTATGTAGGATATCAGTTACCTTCACGTCATCCACACACTTGATGATACCTACCTCATTTATGTCTACGCTGAAGTCAGTGTTAAAAAAAAATCCCAAGCTCTCCCCTCACACTTTCTGCTGCCACTTGTCCCCCCTGTGAGAGTGTTCTCTGGATAGAGGTGTCGGCTTGCTTGACGCTGAGCCCGAACCTGAAATAGCACCCACCTTGCACTTGTCTGTCCTGTCCACAGGCCACGTGCCATCCTGAGACCCAGGGGCTGTGACTCTAGCAGGCCCATCCTTTAGTATTTTAACCGTGTTGCTATACATTGAGTCAATTACAGCTCATGGTAACCCCATGTGTCAGAATATAACTGCTCACATAGGGTTTCCTTGGCTGTCATCCTTCCAGAAGCAGTTTGCCAGGCTTTCCTTCCACAGAACTGTGGATTAGAGCTACCAGCCTTTAGGTTAACAGACTACTACAGACTGTTTACACTTCCTAGGCTCCTTGCTGCTGCTGCCGCCACATGTTGTCAGTCAGTTCCTACTTATAGCAGTCCTGTAAGGCTGTAAACCTTAGGGGAACAGAAAACCTCATCTTTCTACTTCAGATGGACTGGTGAATGTGAACTGCTGCCCAACGTGTAACCCACTACACTCCTAGGGCATCTTGTACACAAAGGAGCGATGAGGCTCCTCTGGTATAACATGTTCTTGTTGACCCATGTTTTATGTGCCACCAATGTGTTCTTTCTTTTTAAGATCGTCCAAATGTCCAGCAGTAAAAGATAAACCCCATGTATCCTCTTGTTAAACACATTGGAGCCATTATACGTGGTATTTTTCACAGTTCTTAATCTATAGTGGAGGCCTGGTGTGGCCCTGTGGGATAAAGCACTGGACTGCAAAGTCAGTTTGACCCACAAGGTCAGCAATTCAAACTCACCAGCTGCTCCTGGGAAACCCTATACAGGGTTGCTATGAGTTGGAACTGATTCAGCAGCACTTAAGAATAACAACAATCTGTCGTGAGAAAAATCAAGCTGCAAAACCACATGCTTATGATTTTCTTAGATACGTACATTGGAGCCCTGGTGTGGCACTGTCGGATTAGCACTGTATTGCTAACTGCAAGATCAGTGGTTCAAACCCAAAACTTGCTTCTTGGAAACCCTATATAGGGTTGTTATAAGTCAGAACCAACTAGATGGCACTAAACAACAACATACATACACTGATACAGTGACATTTTGCCTGTGTCCTGTGACACAGGAAAACAGCAATGGTTAAAGAAATCCCCCCACCCTTGATGTTCAAGACAATGATTTACTGCAAAATAAGTGCTCTTCCCATATGAGTTAAATAAGACTCATCGATGCCCCCTTAACCTGTGATAAGGCCAAACTCAGACCCTTTAAATTCCCATGCCTTCCCTCATAAATGGGTAACTGAACTGTTTGTTGCCACTGATGAATCAAAAACAAAGTGCTTCTTAACCAATCTTTAGTTACGTTTCTGTCTTTCTCCCAATTCCCTAAACTTTGGCCTATTCTCAGCCTGGAAATAGAAAACCAAAATGGAAGCACACTCAGCATTTCTTAAGCTGAAAAAACTGAAGAAAAGTTTAAGCCTTGACTTGCAGTACTGAAGGATTCTATGGAATGAATATTGAATGATGCAGAAAACATCAAAAAAAAAAAAAAAAGATGGAAGGAATACAGAGTCTCTGTACCAAAAAGAAATGTACATGTTCAACAATTTCAAGAGGGAGCATATGATCAAGAGCCAGTGGTACTAAAGGAAGAAGTCCAAGGTGCAATGATGGAATTGATTAAATATAAATTGAAATCTTTCAACAAACTGATGCAGCATTGGAGGCACTTACTCATCTATGCCAAGAGATTTGGAAGACAGATACCTGGCCAAGTGATTGGAAAAGATCTATATTTGTACCCATTTCGAAGAGAGGTGACCCAATGGAATGGAAACCATCGGACAATATCGTCCGTATCATATGCAAGTAAAATTCTGCTAAAGATTATTTGAAAGTGGCTGACAGGGAACTGCCTGAAGTTCAAGCTGGATCCATAAGAGGAAGTAGAACGAGGAATATCATTGCTGATGTCAGATGGATCTTGGCTGAAAAGAGAGAATGCCAGAAAGATGTTTACCTGTGCTTTATTGAATATGCAAGTGCTTTTGATTGTGTGGATCATGATAAGCTATGGATAGCATTGCAGAGAATGAATATTCTGTAACACTTAACTGTGCTCATGAGGAACCTCTACATAGATCTAGAGGCAGTTGTTTAAAAAGAACAAGGTGACATTGAATGGTTTAAAACCAGGGAAGGTGTGTGATAGGGTTGCATTCTTTTACCATACTTATTCAATCTGTATGCTGAGCAAATAACCCAAGAAGCTGGATTATACGAAGAACATGGCATCATGATTGTAGGAAAACTCATTAACAACTCGTGATATGCACTTGAATACAACCTTGATTGCTGAAAGCTGAAGAGGACTTAAAATACTGATGAAGATCAGAAACCACAGCCTGTGGTATTGATTGCACCTCCATGTAAAGAAAATAAAAATCCTCACCACTGGACAAATAAATAACATCATGATAAATGGAGAAAAGATTGATGTTGTCAAAGACTTCATTTTACATGAAATGAAATGAAAAATCTCATGCAAGCAGCAGTCAAGAAATCAAACGATGTATTCCATTAGGCAAATCTGCGGCACCAGACCTCTTTAAAGTGTTCAAGAGCAAAGATGTCAGTTTGAAGATTAAAACTCAAGCCATGTTATTTTCAATAGCCTTATGATACATGTGAAAGTTAGATGTTTAAATAAGAAAGACCGTAGAAGAATTGATGCATTTGAGTTATTGTGTTGGAGAAGAATATTAAAAGTACCGTGGACTGCCAAAAGAATAAACAAATCAGTGTTGGAAGAAGTACAACCAGAATGCTCTTTAGAAGCCAGGATGGCCAGACTTCATCTCTCGTACTTTGGACATGTTAACAGAAGGGACCAGTCCCTGGAGACAGACATCATGCTTGCTAAAGTAGAGGGTCAGCAAAAAAGAGCAAGACCCCCCAATGAGATGGATTGGCACAGTGGCGGCAGAAATGGGCTCAAGTGTTACAACAACTGTGAGGATGGGGCAGGATCAGGCTGTGTTTCGTTTTAGTGTACACAGGGTTGCTATGAATCGGAGCCAACTTGGCGGCACCTAACAACAACCTGAACCAACACACTCTCCTGCATGAGAAAAGGGTTATTGTTGTTGTTAAGTGCCGTCAAGTCAATTCTGATCCATAGCGACCCTGTATAGGGTTTCCGAGGAGCAACTTGTGAGCTTGAACTGCCGACCTTGCAGTTCAAACAGCTTCGCAGTCTGGTGCATTAGTCCACAGCGCCACACCAGCACTCCTCATCATAGACCATTCTGATGGCACACCTGTGACGTCACCGTCTCATTCCGCTCCTCACACCTGGGCTTTTCCTAGCGTTGTTCAGTCTCAGTCTCTATTTAGAACAAACAAAATACTTTTTAATCTTTAAAATACTTGATGATCTTATGGTCAGAGTGTTCTCCTTATTACAATATACCCTTTCCCATCAGAATAGTGTCTTTTGTCCTTTACTTCTGAATAAAGCTTCTTTCTAGCAAAATCTGAATTTATTTTTTTTAATTTGACAATATATATGCATTTTGTGTGTGTGTGTGTGTATGTGTATTGTTGTGAAGTGCCCTCAAGTCTGTTCCGACTCATAGCAACCCTGGATAAGGTTTCTAAGGAACTACTAGTGGGTTTGAACCACTGACCTTGTGGTTAGTAGTCTAGTGCTTTTCCTACAGAGCCACACCATGACTCCATAATATATATTAGGTACAGAGAAAATAACCAAAATATTAATAAGGGTATAATAGGATTATGAATTCTTTATATTTTCTGTTTTCCAAATTTTGTACAATTAAACTTTTCAAGCCTTTTAAGAGGGGTGCTTTCAAAAATTCATGGAAATATTCCATATCTTTTCATATTATTATCCCATGAACATTTTGAAAATGTATTGTGTAAACAGAGGGAATATATATATATAATGAGTTTGCAGTGCATGTAGAAAGGAACGACTCAGACTGCCTGCTGTTTGAGATTACTCAGGCCTCTCCAGAGGCCCTCCTCCTCCATCTTCTACCGCACGGCTGGTGCTATCTTATGCCCTGTAAGTGGACAGCATCCGGAGAAGGAGGCCCTGGCGCTGAGGTGGAGGCTACCCTGTTTATTTTGATTTTCTTAGCTTGCTGCAGACGTCATGAGGAGCCCAGGCCATCCCAGCCAGGGAGCCCAAGGCATCCCTCAAGTGTGGGAAAAGGCCTTTAGGGTAATGAGGGTTCCCAGCTGGGGAATTTCGATTTAGAATAAATCCTTGTTTCCATGCTGAAATCAACACACTTGCCTGTTAACGATACCAATGGGTCTCAACCTTGGCTGCACATTAGACTCACTTGGGGACCTTTAAATAAACAGTGTTGCCAGGTCCCCACCCACAATCAATTGAATCAGGTTTCTTAGGGTGAAGCAAAGCATTAGAGTTTTTTCTAGACGTTTCCTGTGTAAATCTGATGCGCAGTGACTGGAAATACCAATTTATAATGGAGTTATCATTGACCTCATCTCCAATTGTCCACCAAGAACTCCAAACCCTTCCTAACTATGCACTTGGCAAACTCCCTTCAAGGAAACTCAACCATCCTTCCCTGATATGCCCCCAGGCAAAGTCAGTGTGTGTTGGTAGAGGATTTTGTCTTTGTCTCCTAAGAATTAGGCCAATAGGGACATCTTCCCCCACAACTCATAAGACCCTTGATGAGAGTCCAGCCACCATCTTGGTACCTTTGGTCACTGCCTCAGCATAGATATTGCTAGATGGCTGTTAGATGAATGAAGGAATGAGTGAGCTGGTGCTTTCTGTCATCTCAAAGACTGTTCTTTGATGTTTTGAGTTCCAGGGTGCACAGATTATAGTGTTTCCAGAAGATGGAATTCACGGATTCAACTTTACAAGAACATCCATATACCCGTTTTTGGACTTCATGCCATCTCCTCAGTTGGTGAAGTGGAACCCATGCCTGGAGCCTCACCGATTCAGTGACACAGAGGTGTGTGATGATGCCAACTTTCCTCCTCAGTAAACAGGGCACATGCAGATGAACACAGACAAAGACCAAAACCGTGCCCCTAGGGACCATAGAAATCAATCCCAAATTCCATGTTGTCATGTATTCCTTCAGTTAGCGAATGTCTGGTAATTACAAGGCATTTACACATCTTTAGATCCTTCTACTTACTAATTGTACAAACTAATACATGAATAAACACTTATAAAAAAAACAAACCACACAAAAGTAAAAAGACAAAAGTCCACCTTCCCTTCCTAGAGAAACTGACATCAGCAATTTGGTGTGTATCCAACAATATTCCTTTCTATGTGTTTCATAATTATTGACATCCTCTTGTTTAGCATACTATATGCTCACATTTTTAAATTAATATTTTTTAAACATTTCTATTATGAGCAATGTTTTGATAAATGTCCTTATACACATATTTTTTTGCAAGTTTGTCCAAATCTTTCTGTAAGATAAAATTCATACAAATGGAGTCTGAGTCAAGCAATACACACATTGTATTTACAAATTATTTTAAAGAGTGCTAAGTTTCCCCTTTGAGAAAAACTGTGGTATTCACTTTCTGTTGTTGCTGTGTGCCACCGAGGCAATTCCAATTCATGGCAAGCCTATAGAACAGAGCAGAACTGCCCAGTTGGGTTTCCTAGGTTGTCAACTTTTAAGGGAGCAGCAGATCACCACCTCCTTTCTTCCACAGCACAGTTCGTGGGTTTAAACCTTTCAGTTAGCAGCCAAATGCTTAACCATTGCCTGTTTTCCTACCCATTGGTCAGTGCAACATAAAATCAATGTTTTTGAATTTTTGTCAGTCCTGGTGTGGCGCTGTCAGATAAGCACTGGACTGCTAGGTTGATTAGAACTGCAAGGTTGGTGGTTCAAATCCACCAGCCCCTCCTCAGAAACGTAAACAAGGTTGCTATGAATTGAAACCGACTTGATGGCACTAAGTAATTACTAATGACGTAAACATCTTTTCAGGTGTTTGTTTACCATTTGTATTTATTCTTTTATAAATGACCTGTTTACATCTGTTGAACATTTTCTGTAGTGGTTTCCTTTGTAAAAAAATTTTTTTTGGAATTGGGTGAAGGTTTACAGAGGAGATGAGTTCAGTATTTCATACACATTTTGTTTCATTTCACTAACTGCAGTCCCCACCATGAAACATCACATCTCCCACATTGTTCCTGTGATTCCCGTTCCCATTCCTCTTCCTTTCCGAAACTGTCTTAACTTTGTCCTTAGGTAAATACTGCGCGTTTGATATCAAACAGTTGACTTTTCTAAGTTGTGCACATCTCACCAGTGTTACTGTTCCCCAGTCTATTGTATGGCTGAAAATTGAGCCACAGGCTGAGGAGTTTGTTTACAAGCCTGAACTGGTTACCTTTTTACTAATTTAGAATAGGTGTTTATATGTTACAATCACAATACAGATACTCTTCCATTAAAAAAAAAAAAAAAGTAAGGCTAAAAGCAGGATCTCCAAGATTCATTTCTTTGTACCTCTTTTTCTCTAGGTCCTTCAGCGCCTGAGTTGTATGGCCTTGAGGGGACAGATGTTCCTGGTGGCCAATCTCGGGACAAAGCAACCCTGTCATTCCAGTGACGCAGCGTGCCCAAACGATGCACGATACCAGTTTAACACGAATGTCGTGTTCAGCAGTAATGGGACCCTCGTTGACCGCTACCGCAAACACAACCTCTACTTTGAAGCAGCTTTTGATACTCCTCCAAAAGTGGATTACATCACCTTTGATACCCCCTTTGCTGGCAAGTTTGGCATGTTCACTTGTTTTGACATCCTGTTCTTCGACCCTGCCATTAGCCTCCTCAGAGAGTCTGAAGTGAAGCACATTGTGTACCCAACTGCCTGGATGAACCAGCTCCCACTCTTGGCTGCGATTCAGATCCAACTCGGCTTTGCCATTGCCCTGGGCATCAACGTTCTGGCAGCTAACATCCACCACCCCTCTCTGGGGATGACAGGGAGTGGCATACACACCCCTCTGCAGTCCTTTTGGCACCACGACATGGAAAACCCCAGTGGTCACCTCATAGTTGCCCAGGTAGCCAAAAATCCACTAAGCCACAGCCATACAGTGAATGCAACAAGTAAATTGGACCCATCCCATACTAAGTTCTTAAAAATCTTGGCAGGCGACCCATACTGTGAGAAGGATGCTCAAGAAGTCCACTGTGAAGGAGCTGCCAAGTGGAACATGAATGCCCCGCCCACATTTCACTCTGAGATGATGTACGACAATTTCACCCTCATCCCCGTGTGGGGAAAGGAAGGCCATCTCCGAGTCTGTGCCAACAGCCTCTGCTGTCACTTATTGTACCAGAGGCCCAACCTGACCACAGAGCTATATGCCCTAGGAGTCTTCGATGGCCTCCACACAGTGCATGGCACTTACTACATTCAAGTCTGTGCCCTGGTCAAGTGTGGGGGCCTCGGCCTTGACACCTGTGGGCAGGAGATCACAGAGGCCACGGGGATATTTGAGTTTCACCTCTGGGGGAACTTCACTACTTCTTATATCTTCCCTCTGTTTCTGACCTCAGGGATGACCCTGGCAATCCCTGACCAGATCGGCTGGGAGAATGACTACTATTTCATGAGGAAGAGTGGGCTGTCCTCAGGCCTGGTGACGGCAGCGCTCTATGGGCGGGTGTATGAAAGGGACTAGGGCAAGTGTGTTGGGTGGGCACTGGCTACAAGTCATATAAACACTGTGACCACCTCCCACAACACTTTTTACTCAGAATGGGTTCAGTAATTCTTTATAATCGCCACACAGAACTCAACGCCATACTCAAGGTTACAGGGACTATTAGGGAAGTTGTTAAGTGTATGAGTCGGTTCCCACCCACAATGACCCTGTATATAGTTTCCAAAGAGTGACTGGTGACCTTGAACTGACAACATTGCAGTTCAAACCAATTTTGCAGTCCAGCCCACAGAGCCACACCAGGACAATTCTGGGTCAGAAATGCTCAGGGCACCCTTCTTACAATGTCTTCTCAGTGCAGAGGCAGGCCTCTCTCTGCCCGGCCAATGTTACAAAGCTCTTTTAGGAGCAGAGGGAAAAGCAGCAAATGCTGTTCAGTAATGATGCACTGGGGATTATAATCATTGTAGTGGAACAAAATATGATAGGATGAATGCAAAACCAATGCTCTCCCATGTAAACTATCACTTAATTCACAATAAAAGCTTTTTTTTTTTTTTTTTAAATAAAGCTCTTTTAGTATTGCTATTAATGCTCATACAGCACACTACTCCACCATAGGCTTCAACCTGAAGACACTCAACTCTAGCTATTGGGTCACCAAGACTTGCTCCCCTAGTTAAGTGCCTGGAGGCTTCTTACTCTACAGACAAGCCTCCTGCCAAAAGTCACGCAACTTAACTTGTTCCAGGGGTTGGGAAGCCCACCGCTCTGTCTGGAGCTCTGACTCCTGCGTCAAGGAGGTTCAATGTGCAGGGATCGCCCAGTCCAAAGGACGTGATCCATTCCTTGGTCTTTTTGCTTAATGGTAGCGAGAGTCCCCCCTTCCTGCTCTGAGGTGGCTCATTTTAAACCTACATTAGCGTTCCAAGTTTTTCCAATCATAATTAACTCTGTTAACAATCACAACTGAATCATATCATCCTATCAGCATCTTGTCCCACCTTTTCTTATCCAGACCCATTGGAAAAAAAGTTGTTTGGTGGGAGTTACAAGGATTGTAGGTCGAAGGGCATATGAAGTAATCCATTGTACTGCACCACCTCTGTGCCCTAATGGTGGGATCCACTCCTTTGGCACCACATCCTACCCTGGAAAGATGTAGGGGTTACAGATTCCCTCAGCAAATCCTACTCTTCAGCTTGAATTATTGAGACATGTTCTGGTATTTTCTGCTCACGTTTGTCTTTTTCAAGACACACCTTCTAACAGTTCTCTCAGTACACAGTTGATTGTTAAGAACTCAAAAATAAATCTCAGTTTCTGTTTTACATATCCTCAAAGCAGTATTTTGTTGTCTTGTTCTTGTTGATCAAGTGACACTCAGGAAGTATAAGCATTTCACATACCTCAAACTCTCAAAGCAAAAGCTGTATTCGAAATGGTTCCCATGGGGATCTTTCCCACCATAACTGACTCAAACTCCAGTCGAATGAAATGGTAACGCCAGAGCCCTTAATAATATCAGAAATACAGACTGTGAAGCAGCTTTTAAAAGTGGATGAGAAGTTTTTCTCTCATCTGCTTTTCTGTAAGTAAATGGAATGTGTCAAGCAGGACTTGGGATAACTGGAAAGAAAAAGTGAGACTGGAAAAATTGTTGGAAAGAAGGGGCAGCCATGGAAAGTTATGAGTAATAGAATTTTTTCCGTCCAACTTGTCTCATCCAGGGATCCAGGGACCTTAACAAATCACGCTTGCTTTGACCCACCAGCCTCTCTGCAGGACAGTAATGTGACAGTCTGCTTCCATAAAGATTACAGGTTGTGAAACACTGAGGCAGTTCTACTCAGAATTGACTCATGGGCAACTGGTTTGGTTTGGGACAAGAGCTATATTTATAGATGCCCATCCATGCAGGATGGAATGATCTTGGTGTCATTCAACCTGCAGTTCCACAGAAGCGTCTCTCCTTTGTAGAGAAGCATGGTGCCTATGTATATAAGTTGCAAGAACTTCAGTCATTTATTCATGAACCATTCACCAGGTGTGTATGAAGCACCCACTAGGCACAGAATAGGGACTTCCCACAATGTTAGTTCAGATACAGAATGATCGGTGGGAGAAAAGTGTGGTGGAGATATTATTAGGCCACTGGTTTCTATATTATTTGCATCAACATTTCAGTAATTTAGAAAAAGATTTTGATTCCATGCCTAGTAACTGTTTCAGATAACCTTTTTTACATGGACAACAAATAATTAACCTTAACTGTTGTGGGTATTTCATTTTATCTCCTTTTAAATTTTATTTTAATTTTTTTTCAAAGTGTGTATGCTATATCTATATACAGAATTGCATAAAAATAAAAAATGAAAAATTTTCCTTCCTTAGTTTGTCTTTGAGACCCTATTTTAGCTTTTAGGCAGGATAATTAAGGGCATAAATTCTAGAGCAGATGGACTTGGTTTACATTCTTGGCTTCACAGTTTACTCTTTACTGTGTGGACTTGGGACAATTTATTTAAACTTCATTCGTGGAGTGGCATTAAATAACCCATGTTGGGAAAGTAGCAAGAGCAGCCCCACCTCCAGCTGACTAACTGCTCTGCCGAAAAGGCCTGGAAGGAATCAAGTCTTCAAGAAAAAGCAGGAAGAACTCAGAATTCCTGAGGAGGCCCAGACTCCCCCACACCCTGGGAAGTCCTCTCCCACCCAGACGACATCGCTCGCCTGCCCTCGCTGACGCAGAGCAGCTGGGAGGAATGAGCTGGCTGCCTGACGTGGCTCCGGATGTGGTACTGTCTGCCCACTCAACTTCCCTGCCCCAAACCTCAGAGGAACAGAAATTATTTTTAAGATGTGTATCATTGCTTCATGCCAAGATGATTCAAATGAACCTGAGAGAGGGTAGTCAGACCTGCTGGGACTACTTCACTCACTATTTATTAAGCACCTACTGGGTGCACATTTTGCCCTTCAGAGCAGAGCACGGAGAACTTTCCCTGGGTTACTTTCTACTGAAAATTTAGAATTAATTGTTTATAAAGCAGAAATGAAGTGGAAATAAACAACAATGGTAGAACAAATGATGTTTACAATAAAAAGAAGTAGCTAACAGGACAAAGGAGTATAGGGGGAAATGAGTAAAAGATGATTTTCAGGAAAAAAATTTGTCTATGACTAAAGGTTATGATACGCTTTTGTCTCTATGATCCTCAAATTCAGAAAGCCAGTGGCAACTTTGACCATAACACAGAGATAGGAAATCAAATCTATTTTTGGTTGAACCAGACTTGGGGAAAGCCGCTTGGTCCATGTACGTTACAATGTAGGCACAGCTGTGGCTGGCTGTGGTTCTCCACATAAAGGAAGTGAAAAGCACAATGCACTGCGCGCACGCTGCTTGAACAGGCCTGTCCCCAGAGAAGGCAAAACTATGCCCTCCTTGGTCTATCCAGTCTCTGCACCTGACACACTCACTCCTGAGGAGAGGGCCTACCGACAGCGCCTGCCGAGAAAAACACACCCAGGCCACCTCTTACCCAGTATCCTGTGGTTCACTCCCACTCCCCCATGGCCACAGAGCATTGGACCAGGAGTTAAGTAACATCGAGTTGATTCCAACTCATAGTGACCCTGGACAGGGTTTCCAAGGAGCAGCTGGTGGGTTTGAAATGCCAGCCTTATGGTTCTAAGTCCAGTGCTTATCCTACAGCACCACACTAGGAGTAGGAACCTACTTAAAGTCCAGCCAGTCAGAAGGCTGGATGGTGGCCTGAGGTGACCTGACACAGACGCTCCACCCAGAGACAGACAGTGGTAACTCAGCTAATCAGATTGTCAGTGAAAGGCCTGCTCAAACCCAAATTACCCACTCAGTGAACAAACACATGATTTCTGAACAAAGTGGGTTTCTATATGGCAAAACTGAAATAAAGCTTGAATAGCATCTTGTACTGTGAGAAAAGGCCAATATTTATAACAAATGATGATGTAACATGAAGCTCTATGAACAGGCCTCTTGTGGGTGCTAATTTAGCTGCTTACCAGTCCTGAGGAAAGATCCAGTCTCCGGCTTCCATATTCTTTCAGTCCAGAGGAAAGATCCAGTCTCCGGCTTCCATATTCTCTCATCGCCAAGTCTTCCTTTTTGTATTAATCGAAAGTTCTCACATAACAAATGATTCCCAAACCTAGTGACTTCGAACCAGCATGAGCAGTATTAACTGGTTCACTTTCCCTGAGTTGCTTTGAAATGCAAAGTTCTGGAAGAGACATTCTGAAAGCAGCCAGTACCACCTCCTGCCCCCCAGAATTCTACCTAACCCACCTCAAGCAGCAAATGATGATCTGGTCATCAGCCTGGTGGTGTGGTTCTCAGCGTGGCCTCCAAATCTGTTACATCAGCATCACCTGGGGACTTGGTGCAACTCCTCAGGTCCAGCTCACCCTCACTGAATCAGAAAGTCTATGGCACGCAGTGATCTGTGTTTCAACAAGCTCTCCAGGTGATTCTGGTCCTGAGAAAGTGTGAGGCCGCTCTAATGCAGTGCATTTCCCAAAGAAGTTCTGAGACACGTGAGCGTGCCCATTTTAGAAGCAGCAGCTGAGGATAGGAGTGCCGTGCCTAAGGATAACCAGCATCCCAGCAACAGAGCTAGAGCCTGAAATTCCCACTGCGGAACCTCCACACAGGCAGCACTCCAGGCCACCAGTCCGAAACTCTTTCCTCTTTGTCTTAAGCTAGTTTCCAACCCAGTCTGCTCCTTTTGGAGTGCCTTGTTAAGTGCCTTGAAGTCTGTTCTGATAGTGTGTGTATAAGGTTTCAGAAGAGCAGCTGATAGGGTTTGAACCACCAACCTAGACGTTGTAAGTCCAGTGCTTATCCTAAAGCACCACACAAGGACTTCATATATTGGAATCCTGGGTGGTACAAACAGTTAATACACTCAGTTGCTAACTGAAAAGTTGGAGGTTTGAATCCACCCACAGGCACCTTGCAAGAAAGGTCTGGT